CCAGGTGACATCCTTGGCCAATTTGTTTATTGAGTCCATTGAGCAAATACTGGGGTGCCTGAGAAGAGAGGCTAATTGGCATCCACAAAGCGGGTCACATCTTGTCCATCTGTTCATTAAGATCCTTCCAGGGTCGTTAGGAGCTTCTGGTGAGTGCTCCCATGGGATGTAAGTATGCGTATGATGCTGAGTCCATTCTAAGAGTCCAATCACATGCCTCTTCCAAGCTTCCTTTTTACCAATCCTTCAATCTTGTCTCTTCCAAGTCCCTGTCTATCTGTCCAAATCATTAGCCCCTTACAATGAATCACTGCAGAACTTAGGCCTTCTGCTCTTCCAGATCAAGGCAGTAAAATATACCACTCAAAGTACTACCCAGTGTGAGGATTTCCCTACTCTGTCCTTCAGGGACACTCCAAATGGGGTTATAACATCACAAGGTCTCGCTTCCAGCTGGTCCCAGCATACCATGCAGAGTCATTTGTAAACCAGGCTGACATTTCTATGAGCACAAATGTAGGCTGAGAAAGCCGTAGCATGCTGGAAGAGTGAACCACTTGCTCATGCAATGTACCTGTGCTTTCAGGATGTGCCCAGGGCCAGACCCATTCATACCATTTCCACTGAGAGAGGGGCATTGCTGCGCATGCTCAGTTTAATGGCTAGGTGGGTCAGACGACATGGCGGGTAGCTTGGATTAAATGGTTACCTCATAGTCTATGGTCAGATGTTTAGCCTCTGACGGTGCCAAGGGGCGAGCCAGGAACTGTTTCTCCAAAGGTGAATAGTTATTTGCCAAAGAAGGCATGGCCTTGCTCCAAAAATGAAGGGCCTTTACTGCGGTTCTCCTATCTTGCCTTGCCAAAGGCTCTGTGCGGCATCGCAGTCTGCCACAGACTCTTCAAGCACCATTGAATCTAGTGGATCCTAAGGACTTGGCTTGGAGTCTTAGCCAGCTCTGACCCAATTTAAAGCAAGAAACTTTCAATTGCTCAGGAAATAGTGTGAAGTAGCAGACACAAATGTGGTATATGTTGCCTCCAAAATCTAGAATAGCCCACCCAGTGATATGCCTCTTAGTGGTCAGGGATGCAAAGTTCAATAACCTTGATTCATTGATTCCTCATTTTGAAGGGAATATTCTGAATTTCCTAAGACACTATGTGCCCAGACTTCACTGATGCCCCTGTATTTTCACAGGCTGTTCCTCCCTCATTCTGGAAAACAATCATATTTCAAGGTACCTGCTGTTTTATGATCTCTAGGACCTATCAGCATGACATCACCAGTGTACTGGACCAGTGTGATGCCCTATAAAAAGATGAAATGATCAAGGTCCCCATGAACTAACTTATGGTGTAGAGTTGGAGAGTTGACTCAGCCATGAGGCAAGATGGCAGGTGTGCTGTTGTCTGTCCCTGCCATGAGAAAATAAAGTAGTTCTGATGTTCTCTGGTGATCAGGATATAGGAGGGAAAATAGTTTCTGGGTGTCAAATCTACATTAATTTGTTCCAATCATGAGACCGCATTTGGAACATTGTGGAACTATAATTGGAATCACCGCCTGCTTAATTATAATCATCCATTTTCATTTTTCAAGACTCATCCTATTTACACACTGGCCAAACTAGAAAGTTAACTGGAAGTACAACCCCTGCATCTTTCTTTCATAGTCGTGTTAATCTTTGTGCTGCTGCTTAATATGCATTAGTGCTCTTGACTTACTATTTTGATGTGATTTGGGAATATATAGTAGCTTTCCCTTGGCCTGAACTTGCTCTATGGGTCAGGGAACCACGCAGTAAATCTGCCAATCTGGAGAGTATCTATTCTAACTCTGTACTGGGAACCTGGGGAAGTACCCACTGACAGTACTGCTGTCTGTCATGAAGCAGACTCAGATCAACATTCCATTCAGCATCTGATCCCTATAAACCCCCACTCTCATTGGTAAATCTCTGGGTAATCTGGGTCTTTAGAAATTAGCATTAATTCAGGGTTAGTGTCTAATAATTTTCAAGAGATCTAGGATCTTTGCCAGTACACTGTTACTCTGAAATAGGAATAGGTCCTTTTGGAGAGGAACAAGAGAAGTTTTAAGGAACTAAATTATATTATTAGTGTTTCCTCAAGGCTGACCACTCCATTCAAGGGACTCGGGTTCTGAATTTTTTTTTTTTTAGACAGAGTCTCACTCTGTCACCCAGGCTGGAGTGCAGTGGCTCAATCACAGCTCACTATAGCCTCAACCTTCTGGGTTCAGGTGATCCTCCTGCCTCAGCCTCCCAAGTATCTAGGACTACAGGCACGTGCCATCATGCCTGGCTAATTTTTATGATTTGATTTTTTTGTAGAGATGGGGTCTCCTTACATTGCCCAGGCTGCTCTCAATCTCCTGGGTTCAAGCGATCCTCCCACTTCGGCCTCCCAAAGTGTTGGGATTACAGGCGTGATGCACTGTGCCCAGCCTGGTATGACATATTGAGTGGGGTGAGGGTCTGAACATTTTTTATTGTAATGGCTCAAGTTATTTTCCATTGATGTAAGGGGTTTATTTAACAATGGCAACTACCACCAGCATGCCTAATACACAGAGAACAGCCTTTGGGTGGGGTGAGGGGGTTCAAAGAGGTTGGCACTCCCCTCCTCAAGGATAATGTATAAGGTCTTGGACAAGGGAGTAACTTCTGGGGTCTCTTAAGGGTCAGGGTTTCGGATAGGAGGACATCTTTCTCCTGAATTTCTTACATCGAGAAATCTCTCCCAGTTCCTGGGAGTACTGAATCCAGCATATTGAATCCAGAGCTCAGACAGGCTCACTGACATCAAGAAACTAAGGCCATTGGTGTCATAGAACAGAATTGAGGGCAGGAGGAATTCTAGAACTGTGAGTTGAAATGTTTGTTTTTAATGGCACCAGACAGCCTAAAGAAAGAAAATAGCATGAAAAATCCCTAGATCCTTACCTCAAGGCATGGACCCAAACCCTGGAACTTTCTAAGGTTTTCCCCCTTGCAAATGAACACCTTCAGGCAAGGAGACTTGACTTGAGCTGGAACAACCCCTTTAAGAGAGGGGAGAAGGGCCAGCTTGGCCTGCATGGGACACTCTGTAGGGCTTGGAAGTCTGGGTCTCTGAGTGCACCATCCTGTTTGCCCTCACTCTGATTCTCAATTCTCACCTCTTCTGGATTAATTCCTGACATCAGATCTAAAATGATATTCCTTCTGATAAACCATCCACACGTGGTGTGCCCAGGATTTTGCCAAGATAAGTTAGCAAAGTCTTGCAATTCTGTTGGTAAGTAAACTTTCTCCTCCAAAGTTCGACTTTATAATTGGTCAACAGGAACATGCTGGAATCTGACCTAGTCACAAGCCTGGAGGCACAAGGAGGAGTGTTGTTTTCCCTCTTGCAAATGAACACCCTTAGGCAAGGAGACTTGACTTGAGCTGGAACAACCCCTTTAAGAGGGGAGAAGGGCCAGCTTGGCCTGCATGGGACACTCTGTAAGGCTTGGAAGTCTGGGTCTCTGAGTGCACCATCCTGTCTACCCTCATTCTGATTCTCAACTCTCACCTCTTCTGGATTAATTCCTGATATTTATGTAAGAACCCTGCAAAGGTTGAGAATTCAACTAATATTGTAACTCAGCAACCCACCAGATCAAAGTAGGCATCTGGTGTTCAGTCATGTCAGCCCTGCCTTGATAAGAGATGAGATTCTTTTTCCAGACCATAGAAAGTTCTTGAGTTTGGGTCCATGCCTTGGGCTAAGGCTCTAGGGATTTTTCATCGCTATTTTCTTTCTTTAAGCTGTCTGGTGCCATTAAAACAGCCCTTGAATTCCTCCTGCCCTTAACTCTGTTCTCTGGTACCGGTGGCCTTTGAAGTCTTGCCTTTGATGGGCACTTCATTTTAGGTGACCACAAGTGGCAAACCTTACCCCAGGACTCAGAACACCTGCCGCACACACTTGGCTGGTCTCACCCACCCAGTCTCTCCCCACTGCTTCGATGCTGGGCCCACTGGGTGGGCTGATTGTTCAGGATGAAATCCCTGCTTCCCATCCCATAGTCTCCACTGTTTCGGGGACCCGGGCTCTTTCTGGCAGCAAAAGTTCCCACCCATCCCAATCTTAGCCTGCTAATCCAGCCTCCAGCATCCTGCACATGAACTGCCGCCTCTCAACCCATCCCTCAGCCAGGATGCTGGCACCTACCCCAGCCTCACCCCCACAGCCAGAGCTCCAGACCTGGCCCAGAGAGGCACCAAGAAACCAATCTTGGCAGCCTTTTAACCCAAAACCCCAGAGAAGCCAGCTCTAGGGGACAGTGTGTGGGGCTGAGGGTGGCAGGGGGCGGCACAGGGCAGGAGATGGCAAAGCAAGACACAAGATTCCAGACTAGATAAGCTGCTGGGAACGGGGAGGGGGCCTGGGTGCAGCATTCCTGGGCGATGACACCATCTCCCTAGCCACAGAGGGCGGCAGGCAGGAGCCTCTGGTTCCCCCCGGAGGACTCGTCCTTGCCGCTATCTGATGAGGGAGCTGTCGGTTACAGGAAGACAAGACTATTAACAGGACAACCTGGAGAGCCAGAAATTAACCCACCATGCCAGAGGCTGGGAGGTGCTGGGCGGGGTGGATAATTGAGGGGCCTTGCAATTAAGGCCTCTTCAGGTTGAACCAGTCATTCTCAGAGCTGGGACTGGGATCCTAGTCAGCTGGGGGCCCCAGAGGACTTTGGGAAGGGGAGTTCAGTCCCTGCTCCCCACCATTCCTGCTCACCTGGGCCTCACCTCCCACCCTCCCTCCAGCCACTCATGCAATTCACAGGCTATGTTCATTCCCACCTTTGCTCTTGCTGTTCCTCCCATCTGGAATGCCTTTCCTCCTCCACCTCACTCAATCCTGCCATTATTTCAAGACCCTGTGCAGGCCCTGTCTTATTTAAGAAACTTTTCTGCACCAATCCTATTGGGAAAGATTGCTCTGATCTTGCACAGTACAGCCCCTTTATGTTATGGTGAGAATACAGACTCAGAGAGGGGCAGTGATTTGCCCAGAGTCACACAGCAGAACCAAGGCTAGAACTCAAGACTCCTGAATCCCAGACTAAGATTCTTTCCGCCACACCGTGAGCTCTCCAACCAACAATCAGCCTGAACATCTTGTGCAAAACTCAGGACATAGAATGAAGGCCCCCAAGGGTTCAAGGAGGATATAACCATATTTATCAAGCATCTGTTTCATCCCAAATTCTCTGCAGGGATTGGAGCAGGCACAGAAGTAACCCTGTTCTCAGGGAGCTTGTTGTCTATGGGGCAGAGAAGACTCTGCCATGGGGTCACCCAACGGTTTGTTCAATAATAACCAAGAAAGGGCCCAAAGAAGAGGCCCCAGACTGCCAGGAGCTTGCAGCAGAGGCATTCAACCGTGCCGGGGCTCAGGACAAGCCTCTCTAGAGATGCTGTGCCTGGGCTGAGATTTGGAGAGTGAATAGGTGGCAACCAGGCAATGAGGTGGGATGGGAAAGAACATTCCAGACAGAGGGAAAGGCCAGCAAAGGAAGTCCAGGATAGCTGGAGCTCTGAGTGAGGGGAAGGCGCCCTGAAATCTAACAGGGTCGCCACAGGGCTCAGATAATGCAGGACCTCCAGCAGAGAGAAGTGTTCTTCCTCCTAGAAGCACTGAGAAGCCCCTGCAGGATTTTCAGCAAGGAACCGCATGTGAGCCTGGTAAAGTCATCAGCTGCAGTGCGGGGAAAGGGTAGGAAAGGAGCTAGATGAATGTTGGAACCGCCAGCAGGCTCCTGCACCAGTCCAGTGGGCGGTCAAGGAAGGAGGCAGCAGGAGTGTGTGAGGATGGAATCTTCTGGGGCTGTGGGTCTGGGGACTAGGGAAGGAGTTGAGGGAGAGAAAGGAATCAAGGAAACCCCACCTGGGTTTCTGGTCTGTGCAGTGAGTGGAGGGTGGGCAGCTACTGGGGTGGGGTAAGGAGCTGAGGGTGAGATAAGCTGAGTTTGAGCTGCTTTTGAGCTACTGCAGCTCAGAGGAGCTAAGGAACTGAGAGGTGAGGGGGAGAGCGTAGATGCAACCCAGACTGGGGGTTGTGGGCACGAGGTACCTACTCTGAGCTGCACCTCCTCATGGAGCTCCTTTAACAGGATGGGTGTCATTGCTCCATTTTGCAGAAGATGAAACTGAGGCTCAGACAATGGAAAACAGTTTTCCAGGAGTTTCTACGATAAGAACTTGGTGAAATCAAGACTGGAACTGGATCTGCCTCCCCACACCCCTACCTACTTTTCCCACCTGAAGCTGCCCTTAAGATGACTCCATGGCCTGAGCTTGACCCAGAGAAACAGAGTCAGAAGCTCCTTATGCAGATGGGGCTGCAGGGAGCTCATTAGCATAGGCACTCAGAGGGAACCACTCCCTTCACGGAAAGAAAGGCAAGGAAGACAGCCTGGAGGCGAGCAGGGTCCCTGTCCCTGTAGTCAAGGCCACTGACCCCCCCAACTCTTCTGTCCATCGCGCAAACATGCACTGATGCCAGCTTTGCACTGAGCTCTCTGCTGGGCCCTTCACACCCAAGAGGGGTGCACTGCCCCCACTGCACAGTTGAGGAAACGAAGGCCCAGAGAGAAGACGGTCACAAAGTGAGTTTGTGTAGAAAGGGACTCAGGAGTTTCTGGCTCCAGAATCCCAGCTCGCCCTCTCCAAGAGGTGGAAGGGGTTCAGTGAGCAGCCGGTGCAGGAGGCAGTGAGGGACCCTGGGCTGCAGGGGGCCCAGGGAGTGCAAAGGGACAGAAGGAAGGTGGGTTGGCATCTGAGAGCCTTGTAGCCAGCCGAGGATCCACGATAGCATGTCTTCGCCTCTTCCCTGCCCACTCAGGCCCAAGGCAGCATCCTGGCCCAGAGGCTGCCCATCCCCACCTGGCCTGTTGTGTCCAGTTCCCCTCCTGTCAAGCTTCATCTGGGGCATTATGGCCAGAGCTGGACCCTCTGGTGCCTTTATTCAGAAGAGACCTGAACAAAGGGGCCTGAGACAGAGCCAGCGCTGGCCTTGTTGGGTGGGGAGGGAGCTAACTCATGTGGTCTGTGGAAGGGTGCCACTGCCCGGCCCTCAGCCTGGGGAAGCCAAGCCTGGGAGGGAGTGAACCCCGCTCTGTGAATCTCGGGGGTAGGGTGGGAAGGCCTGGCTGTGCAGAAGTGGCCAGTGCCCTGCAGAACCTGAGGGATGGCATGGAAGGAGCAGGGCTTGGAGGGCCAGATCTGGAGGGAGGGGAACGAACTCCAGGGGCCAGGCACGAGGCAGACGTGGTCTGGGCCAGCAGGGGGCGCTGCTGCAGCAGAAATGGCCCCACGGCCAGCAGGGCCGGAGGTGTGTCAGAGGTTACCCAGGCTTCATGGCCCCTGGAGCAGGGCAGAAAAAAGCCACCCGCTCCACAGACCTGGCTACTGAGGCACAGCCCTAGCACGGGAGACCCACTGTGGGGTCATGAACAGGCTTGAGTCTGCAAGAACAGACTGGAGCTTGAATCCTGGTTGCTCCTCTCTGTGTGACTTTGGGCGAGTGGTGGTCAGTCCCAGCCATGACACAGTATTGCAGACTGGGCAGCTCGCAACTGAAACTCATTTCTCCCAGCGGTGGTGGCTGGGCAGCCTGGCACGGGGCCATTTCTGGAGTGGGCCCTCCTCCTGGCCTGCCCTGTACACTCACATGGAGAGAGAGTTCCGGTCCCTCTTCCTCTTCTTATAAGGCTGTGGTCCTATGGGATTATGACATCATTTTACCTTCATTACCTCCTAAAGACCCTGTCCCCACATACAGTCACATAGAGGGTTAGAGCTTCCATATATGAATGTGGGGGCAGCGGGGGCATAATTCAGCCCACAGCAGCAAGTCCTTTCCTCCAAAGCTTCAGCTCCACCTCTATAGAGTGAAGATCCTCATAGCACTTGCCCTGTGGGGTTGTGAGGCATGAACGGGATCGTGCAGGTGAGGCCCGGCCTCTGGCACGGAGTAAGCGTCCATGAGAAACAGGCAAAGTCCTCCCCAAGGAGCAAAGCAGGGGTGCAGGCATCTGGACCAGCTCAGGGATGTCCACGTCCTCCTGAGCCACACAGGGCAGGGCAGGGACCTGGCTTATGGCAGAGCGGAGGCTTCAGAGCAGGAGGGGGCTCCAGGGCCAGGAAGGCAAGGAGAACACCAGGAATGGGGCTGGCCACTTGCCAAATTTGCTTCATTTGACCGCAACACTTATCAAGCTCCTGCCTTGTGCCAGGCAATGTCAGGGGCAGAGGTTTCAGGGGAGGAGCCATGCTGGTCCTGCCCTCCAGACCCCAGCAGGGGGCGCCTCCCGCTGGTGTGGCCTGGGAGCATCTGTCCTGCATTGACGCCGGCTGAGTATCTCCTGTTGTCAATGACTTCTCTTTCCCTGTCATGAGGAAAGCTCTTCGGCTTCCAACTAACCCCATGAGGTTGGTATTGGTGTCCAGCTACAGAAAAAGGAAGGTTCAGAGAGGTTAAGTGACTTACCCAAGATCACACAGTAGAAACTGAGTTTATCTGACTCCAGAGCCCATGCTCTTTCCAGTGTACACACTGCCTAGAGCAGACTCACTGTTCCTTCTTTGTGATGGGCCCATCTAGGACCAGAAGGAGGCTCTGGAAGAACCTTCCACAGTGAGCACTTGGGGGGGTCCTGATGTCCCCTGAGAGGCCTCATGTCCTGGGTAATAATTCTGACTCTGCTGCAAATTAGATGATCTTGGGAAAGTCTCTCGTACCCAGCCTCAGTTTTCCCCTCCCTCAAATGGGACTAGGAGTTCATCACAAAGCATAGGATAGAACACACCCCGTTCCCACTCACTCCTCACCTCTACTTGCTCCATTCCAAAGACACACCCTCAAGATCAGCCCCCACCCCTGGGGCAGGCAGCGGCTGTGCCGAAGGGTCCTCCACCTTCTCACAGGTACAGTCCCACGAGGACTGGAGACGCAGGCGCCCAGCGTGAGATGCTTTCTTGATGTGTTGGGCACCCCGGAGGCTTCCTGAAGGCCCTCAGCAGACCAGCTCCAGCTGGGGAGAAACAGCATCTGGGGGCACAAGAGACCCAGGACCAGGGGCTACCCTGGCCTGCTCTGGGCTCCTTCTTTGGTCTCTGGACCTTCGGGGCTCCCCTGGCCACAGGGGACGTTGCAGGTTTGGCCTGGCTTGGAAAGGGCCCTCAGCCCTGGTATACCCAAATAATAATTAAATTTCCTGGTCAAGCCCACTGGATCAGATGAACTCCCTTCATGTGAAGATGGACATCAGCCAGCTGAAACGCCACACTCACTGGCCACCTTTCCCCAGCCCTTGCACTGAAGATCCTATAGGGGAAAGGTACTTCCACTGAAAACGATTCTGTGCTTTGGAAAATACGTGCAAGAGTTTCAGGCAAAAGAACTGCCAAGACACCCCACGGCCAAGCCTGAGGTAAGACTGCAAGTGCTTTGGAAAGAATTTCTGGCAACCCAGATATAACGTTTTTAACGGAGATGTCCAGTGTTCCTCAGAGAAGGGCAGCATGAGGAAATTCAGCATCTGTCAGCCTCACAGGATCTGGCGGTGGGAGAGCCTGCACCCTGGCCAGGTGGTACACTTGGTTCTTGTCTGCATCCAGAAGCAGTTTTGGTTTTAGTTGCATAAAATAAAGGTCTCTCTCTCTCTCTCTCCCCCAACCCACTATAAAAGTAATGCTTGTTTAAATAAACTTGGTAAATATGACAATAAGGAAAAAACATAGAAAAGAAAAACCCCCAGGTCTGTCTCACCCCAAGCTCTGTCTCACCCTTTTGTTCCTTGCTTCCCCCTGTGCTTAGAAGGTGCTCTGTCGTCTTCTGCTCGGTACATGTAAGATTTCGTGAGCATTTCTCTTTCATTCTAAGCTCTTTCTCCTCCAAGAGGCTGATCCCATGGCTCACGATCTTACAATTGTTTCCTGCTATTCTGCACAAAGCTGTGATGCATACCTTTATGCCAAAAGCTGTTCTCAAATTTTAAAATATTTCCTTCGGATTGCTTTTTCAGAGTGGTATGGCTGATCAGATGGGAGAGGAGTATGGAAGTTTCTAGATCCAAAGACCCTCTTGAAAGGGTGATTCTTTGCACCTGTGAGAGTCAGAGACGGTCACAGGAAAGACGGCCCCTCAAACCGAGAGCCGAGCCCTCTACAATTTGTCGTTGAAATAGCCAGAGGACATCCTCAGGGACATTCTCCCTTCTGCTGAGGCCCACAAGGGTGGGGGTGTCACAAGTGGCCCTAGAAAGAGGACTGGGGCTCCCGACCTGGACAGAGGCTCGTGGTTGCTTCATCTCAGAAGCAGCAGCCCCACCGGCTGGAGACTTCTCATGGGGCTTGAAGTCAGTCGTGTGACTGTCATTTTTGTGCCACTGACGAGCTGTGTGACCTTGGGCAAATTACTTAACCTTTCTGAACCCATTTCTACATCTGGAGAATGGCGACAATAATGGCACCGACTTTCCTTGGGTTGCTGTAAACATTAAGTGGAGTGATGTTTGCAGCACCCTGAGCCCAAGGTTGGCTACACCACTGTGGTGGCCCACGTAAGCAGTGACGCACGCATTGGAATTGCTGTAATGACTACTTTCACTGCATATTCATTCCACTCTGTCCCACAGCCTTCCTCTGACTTCTGAGTCTTCATTTCTTCAGGGTAAATGGGGCCAAGAATGATTCCTTCCTCCTAAAGTGGGAACGGAGCCAACACGTGTAAACTGCACAGGCTTTGTGGTAGCTTACTTGGCATGTTGTTGGTATCCTCCAGTGGAGGAACTCGCTACCTTTGGATCAGGCTTCAGGGACAGCCAAAGCCTGTTTCTGGCTCTACAGAACATGCTGGCTCCAACTTCCACAGAACTCCTCCAATTCCAAACCCCAAGATCCTGGGTCCGCACAGCACTGAGGTCCAGTCCCAGGTTCATCTCTCCCAGCTGGGTGTCCTTGAACAAGTGCATCAGCCTCTCTGAGGAGCCTCAGCCTCCTCATGTGTAATGCGGGGGCTCCAATCATGGGGTTGTTAGGAAGAGCAAACAAACTCACCAGGCACACAGGAGATGTTCATTACATGTGAATTTCCTTTCCCCTGCAGATGCTGAAGGGATTCTGTGTTTATGGGGGAATGAGAAAGATTTGAGAGAAAAAGCCTAAATTCTAGGCAAAATCAAGATGCCTGCTTGAGCCATGGGGAATCAGCGTTCTCAGCCCTGCCTGCTTCTATCTCCAAGGCTGCTTAGAAACACTGGTTAAGTCCCAGATTCAGCCCCAGAGCCCAACAGTATGGCCCAGAGGCCTGGTTTTTAGCCACTTCATGGCTCTTCTGCCTCTATGAAGAGAATGGTGATGGGGACGGGGACGATGTCACTGGGCACACAGTTATGAATGCCTGTGTACCAGGCCCTGTGGAAGGCTCCAGGGGTAAAGATGAAGTCCCCACTCCAGAGACCTTCTGTTCTCATGGCGGCTGGAAATGAAGACTGCAAATTAAGGAATTAAGATGAGCTAAGCTGAGATGAGCTGGCAAGTGAAGGAAATAAACAGGAGGACGCAACGGAATAAGGGAAGGGCTGACTTCCACTGGACAGGAGATGTTTGGGCGGAGATTTGATGGAGGAGAAGGGGCCTACCAAGACTGGGGGTGCACAGGTGCTGGGTGGGCGGAGATTTGATGGAGGAGAAGGGGCCTACCAAGACTGGGGCTGCACAGGTGCTGGGTAGGGAATCAGGCACGATGTGCACGAGAAACAGCAAAGAAGCCAGGGGCCGGGATGTGGTGGCCCAGGCTAGTGGGCAGGAGCCAGATCTCCACCGCTCAGCCTGGAGCACAAAGCAGTGGGGTTTTGAGGAAAGGATGAAGCGGGGAAAGACAGCACATCTGTTCTGTGTGGCTCATGGGGGCAGCTCCAGAGGGGCAGCTTCTGGCTCACCATAAGGCCAGCCTTGCAGATGGACAGAACCATCTAAAGGTGGAAACGGATTCTTCATAAGGGAGTGAGCTTCCCACAGCCAGAGGCATGCAAGCCGGAGGAACAGATTGCTTGGAAGGGAGCTCCGGGTCGCACTGGGCTGCACACATTGATTCTTGGTCACTCAGTGGACAGTGGACAGTTGTGGATGCTGCTGTGACCAGCCCCGTGCTGGATACTAGGGTGACTGAGATGGGTCTGTTGTGCCACTGCTCTTGTGGCAGTCATGGCCCAATGGGGAGGAAACCCTGGGAAGAGAGTGGAAAGGATTTGGGGTCACCAGAAGAGGGACAGAGCACGCATGAGGGCCGCAGAGGAAGGAATGAGAGGAGGAGGACGGGGGGAGAGGGAGGGAGGAGGAGGGAGGGAGGAGGGAGCATTTGTGGCTTGAGGGATCTTCAGGGTAGACAGGTACGCACAGGAAATGGGTTTCTGGACTCCCTCGCCCCCCTGGCTGTGTGACTGGCCGTGCCTGCTCCTCGTGTGCCAAATGGGAACAGGAACCCCAGCTGCATGTTCCTCTTGGAATGCGGCCGGCTGCGGCAGGCAAGGGCTCCGAACTTTTGTTGCTGCTAAAGATTCATAGGAATGTTGGACAACCAATGCACTGTGCCCAGAGCAGAGAGCTGGGGCGGCCTCGGAGGGGCCTCGAAGCCCTGCTGGGGACTCTCCAGGCTGGCCTGCTAGGAACTCAGCTTGACCTGGTGAGAAAGACCACACCACACGCCCCTTCCTTCCCCGGAGGCCTGAGGACGGGAGATGGGTGAGACAGGACAGCGGGCCTCCCCTGGCATGAAGCAGGTGCCGGCCCAGGGCAGCCCCTGGCCTGCCTCTTGCTGCTCAGCCCTGGGGAGGGAGGCTCATGCTCAGTGGCAGTTCCAGAGCCAATGGGCACTAGGGTGGGAGCTGGGGGCTGGCACCGATCACAGCTCCAGAGCCAACTGCTCATTAATTCACCCCCCACATTCACTTCAAAATAACTCATTCAGCCTGGGAGAGCTGCTGGCAGCCTGCCAGGGAAGGCTCCAGAGGAGGGGCTCACAGAGCCTTCTCATAGGCAGCCCCTCACACTGCAGGCAGGGACCCCGACAGGAGGACAAGAGATGTCCCCGTTCTGAGGAATGTGCCCCTTCCTCAGCATCGGGACTTCCCCCACTATGGCTCTGCCATGGACAGGTGAGGAAACAGGCTCCAAGGGGACAGGGATGACCCAGCAAATCAGACGGGGGCTGCTGTGCAGTGGGCATGGAGGAGGGACACTTAGAGAGGCTGAAAAGCAGGGGCAGAGAGAGCTCCTCTTGGGGTTCCATGGGCCTTCCACCACGAGGACGCCGCCAGCACTCTGCGATCCAGCCAGACAGGCCCAAGGCTGAGGTGAGGAGGGACTGCAGGCTTTAGGATGAGGCTGCCTCCAATGCTAGAAGAGAGTGCTGGGACCTGAGGCCTGGATTCTGAGGCACTCATCTGTCCGCCGGGGGCGGGGGAGGGGCTTGGGCCACCATGTCCAGTGCTAGAGGCTTCTGTCCCTCAGAGAGCTTGGCCACAGCCAGGCCTCTAATAGAATGGTGTCCATGTCTTCCTCCTCCCACTAGGCCTGGGGACAGCCTGGAAATGGCCGGGCTCAGGACTTACTGGTCAAGGTGGAGCTCTGGCCGAAGCAGGATGCAGCCACTGCCCTCCAGACCCTTTCTGATTCTTCCCAACAGCTGCTAAGCAGGGGAATGGCCCAGGTGCACTGGGGGAAGTGGGTGTGTATGTGTATGTGTGGGTGTCACTCAGAGAAGGCCACAGAACACCCAGAAAGCAGGAGCTCTGCCCCACATGTCGGGTACAGGGCTGAACTCACTGCCTTCCCCATCTGCTCCTCCCTCCCACCTCAGAGAATGAGCCCCCATCAACCACCCGGGTTCCCACAGCAGACACTTGCTGCCTCCTCCCACCGCCCCCGCCACATCCAAACCACCATCCAGCCCTGCCCAAGCCCCTCTGAACTCACATCCAAACCACCACCCAGTCCTGCCCAAGCCCCCCGAACTTGGAATCCATCCGCTCCTCACCCCCAGCCCACCAGAATCCAGGCCACCACCATCACCCCTTGGGACTGCTGCCAGGTCCTTGTCACGTTTCCCTGCTCGGCATATCCCCTGCTAGTGCACACCCACACATACACACACCCACACCCACATACATGCATGTATACACATCCACACACCCACACCCACATATGCACACATTTATACACATATACCTACACACATACACACAGACATATACATGTGCATACACAATCTATACACACAGCTATATACATACACATATAGCTACTTATACGCACAGCTATATACATACACACACATACACAATACACACACATACACATACACACATATATACACACATACACAGATGCATGCAATGCACACACACATATACAAACACACAAATATACAAATACCTACATACATATACACAAACATATACACATATACACATTTGCATATGTACAATACATACACATATAACACATATACACTGACATATGCATGTGCACACACACATCTATACACGCACCTATATACATACACATATCCACAAACACAAACACATACATATATACACACATACATAAACACAATATACACACATAACCACATATACAAACACACGTACACATACACACATATACACCACCATATATACACATATGCACACAAACACATACATACACATAGATACATACAAATGTACAAACACATATTAACACACACATGTGCACAAACATACAAACACATGCCTGCACACACATATTTTCACACAAACATACACGCACATGCATGCACGCACACATGCATGCCCCACTGGCTGTCAAAGGGGTCTTTCCAGAACTCCAGCGTGACCAGGTTACACCCCCATTGCTCACTGTAACCTGCCTTTGAGGCCACTGAGCCTGGGCCTGCTCATCTTACTGAGAATCTGGGAAGCAGAGAGATTTTAAACAGAGGCTGGGCTTATTATAAATGCATAAATAAATATAAATTAATGCTGTGTATAGAAACTTGTACAAATCTAAATCATTAAATCAAACACAGGTTTGGGGGTCAGCAGATTTGGGTCTGAATCCTGGGGGCCATTTCTTGGGTGACTGTGTGACCTTGGATGAGTCACACCACCTCCCCAAACCCTTTCCTCATCTGGGACATAAGGTTGCTAAGGGCCTTCTGCATTTGACTTCAGGAGGTGCCTGTACCATGCTGTCCAGTTGGCCTGGCGAGCTCACTTGTCTTTCAGCACCGCCCTGGATGCCACGGCCTCGCTGGGCCTCTAGCTGCCCTCCCTCTGGGCCCCCACAACCCCTCAGTGCCCTGCTAGACTCTGTCTCTGTCCTTTCTGCCTACCTGTGAATGTCTCACGAACAGGACCTGGAACAGAGGCTAATTATGTTAGATGAATGAGTGAATGAATGACTGAAGTGTGAATCCCTGTAGGTGGACGTATAGGGACATGGTCACGTGTTGACACCACACCACATACATGCACACAACACACACACACAAAACACATAGGTACACACACCACACCACACATACACACGTAACACATATGCACACACACACCACACATAGCTATATACCACACCACACAAACACCACACACACACAACACACATGCACAGACATGCCACACACAGACACACACACCACACATACCACACATAGATATACACCACACACACAACACAGATACACCACATCACATACACTCACACAACACACATAATGCACATGCACACACACACACCACACATACCACATATAGACACAGCACACCACAGACACAGCATACACAACACACATGCACACAGACACACCACACACACATACACCACACATATACACCACACACAACACACATGCACACACACAGAGACACACACACTACACATACTACACATAGATATACACACCACACCACACACATGCACATACACAACACACATGCACACACACACCACACATACCACACATAGATATACACCACACCACACACACACAAACACACATGCACACACACCACACATACCACACAGATATACACCAAACCACACACATGCATATACACAACACACTTGTACACACACCACACAGACACACCATACACAGACACACACACCACACATACTACACATAGGGCACATCACACACAACACACACAGACACACCACAACACACACACAAAACACACATGCATGCACACACCACACACCACACACAGACACACCACACTCATGGATATACACTATACAGAGACACCACACACACAGATATAGACCATACATCACACACCACACACGCACCAACACACGCCACACACACACCACACCATGTACACAGTTCCATCCCACACCCCCGCCACTCACTCAGCGACCTCTTCGCCCTCTGTGGTCTGGGAAGGGTGCGGGTCAGCAGGGCGCCCCTGGGCTGCTCATCTCCACTCAGGTGTTGTGCCCCTCGGGCACAGCCGGCCTTAGCCTGAACCTAAGAAGAAAGGGCAGAGCCGCTTTTTGAGCTCAGGAGGCTGTGGGTCCTGCCAGCAGCGCCCAGCCCCGAGGCAGCGGCTGGGCCTGAGTGAGACCCTTGGGCCTGCAGGGGACATCCCAGCAGTGCACTGGGGCTGGCCAGGCAGGGGCCTGTGGGGTGGCGGCCCGGCAGCCGGCAGCCAGCAGTCAGCAGTGCCGCCAAACGCCCACTTGTACCAGCCGCTGGTTTTCAGGGCCTGCTCACGAGCCAGCGGGCATACGGGGCCCAGACGGCCCTAGGGTGTCCTGCCAGGGAGAGGCGTCCTCTGTGAGGGCGGCCTGGGAGGGGCAGGGCGGGCAGGGTCATCTGACACCTCGCATTCCTTCCAGGCAAGGACACCAGGCTGGCGGCCAGGGCCACCCCCAACTCGCAGTGTGGCCTGAGACGCGCCGCAGACTTCTGTACAATGGGGCGGGGGGCGGGGCGGGGCCAGGTAGAGGGTCTAGTGCCGCAGCTGAGCTGACCACCCCTTGTCGGGGATTCCGGTCCCCTGGTGCGGGGCGGCGTGCAAAGGGACCGCGGCCACAAGAGGGCGTCTGAGCTTCAACCAGCAGGGAGCAGCGGCCAGGAGGCCTCCAGGTGGAGTTCAGGGGCTGGGAGTGGGTCGGGTTGAGCTGGAGCTGAATCTTGCGGGAGGGGGCAGACTACTGCGTGTGCCCCGGCCACTCTTTATCTCTTTTCATCTGATGGCAGCACATACTGAGTACACACATGAATGAATGAAGTGAAGGAGGTATTATTATTAATCAGTATTTTACAAGTAAGGAGGCAGCTCTGTGCCTACAGGGATTTTCCCAGGTCACACAGCTGGTAGGCATGGAGCCAGTGATGCCCCTGGTTCTGTCTGCCACAGAGCTTTGGAGAAAGCACCAGAACCAACCTGTGGCATTACCAGCACCCAAGTGCTCAGAGCAGGAACAAAATCCTGGTCCTGGGCCCCTCCAGGGACCCCCTCTGCCACAGAGACCAGGCCTCTCTGGTCAGCACTGAGTGATAGTAATCATTAACAAGAAGGAACCCACTGCCACGGCACTTTACACGCTCATGAAGCATCACTGTCCCCTGGGTTACAGAGAAGGAAGAAAAGAACTTGCCAGAGACCGCACAACTTCTGGTTGGAACACTCTGGCCCCGGGAATCCACACTCCCCCTGCCATGCTTCATCTCCGGGAGACTGTTTTCCAGGAAGGAGCTCCCAGCCACGTCTCTCCAACTGTTCATCCAATGCAGTTTTCTCGCCTGCTCGGTGGTAGCAGAGGTAAATGACAACATAGCCCAGCCCCATAGACTTCACCCAGAGGAGAAGTCAGACCAGACAGCAGGGGACTCGTTCAGGGCAGCGCGGGTCATTAAGGGCCCTGTGAATACAGAATCCTGATCCATGACACAATTCCATCACCCATTCCAGATTCCCATCAAGAAGCCAAAAATATAAAAACCCTTCAAGCTGCGAGCCAGGACACCCTGCCACCACTTTGGGGCAAGAACCCCTCATCCTCAGCCCCACTTTCCCTCTCCCCATCCCTTAGCCACCTCCCCCACTTCCCCTCACCTCCCTCCATACCTCCACACTCCCCAGGACCTGAGGCCTGACTCAGCCTTCTCCACCAACACCTGCCTTCATCCTGAGAGTTCCCCAGACCCCTGACGACCCGGCCAACCTCCTGCTTCTCCCTGATCACCAACAACCCTCTCTTCCTCTTTTGTACTTGGCCCAGCCAACCCCACACATGCCATGGCCTGGGTGTCCTCACTCAGAACTGCCTCCCACCCCATATATCCTCCCAACCCTGTATTGGCCTCTATCCACGGCCCTCCTTCACTCAGCCCTCCTTCACTCTCTGACCTCATCACAGCACCTTTCTTCTCCTGGGGGCACTTCCCTTCCTGTCCAACCTGGACCCCAAGGGGCCTTTCTGTAGCCATAGTCTTGGCCACCCACCCTGCAAAAGTCTCCCCACCACTCTGCAAAGATGCAACCATGAGATAAACCAGCCGGCCCTCCCCGAGGAGCCCATCTGTGTCCTGAACCCTGGACTCCACCCTTCCTTCCTCCCATCTAACCCCCTTCTTCACCTTCTCTTTCCCTGCATCAAGAAACATGCTCTAACCTGGGCAACAAAACGAGACTTCATCTTGACTAAAAATCAAAAACATGAGCCAGGCGCGGTAGCACATGCCTATAGTCCCAGTTGCCTGAAGTACCAGCTACTCGGGAGGCTGAGGCAGGAGGATCGCTTGATCCCAGGAGATTGAGGCTGCAGTGAGCCAAGAAGGCACCACTGCACCTCAGCCTGACTGACAGAGGCACTCTCAGAACTTTGGGAGGCTGAGGTGGGTGGGATCGAGACCAGCCTGGCTGACATGGTGAAGCCCATCTCTACTAAAAATACAAAAATCAGCTGGGCATGGTGGTGGGTACCTGTAATCCCAGCTACTTGGGAAGCTGAGGCAGGAGAGTCACTTGAACCCAGAGGCAGAGGTTGCAGTGAGCTGAGATGGCACCACTGCATTCCAGCCTGGGCAACAGAGTGAGACTCCCCATCTCAAAAAACAAACAAGAGGGAAAAAAAAAAAAAAAAACCCTCCCATAGCCCTACACTTGGCTCCAACCAGGACCTAGCTTTCTTCCCCCTACCCAGTAAA